AACAGCCATGCTATTTCTGGCGTTTGGTGCTATTGAGTGGTTTGATTGTTACCGATAAGCAGCTGTAGATGTGTGACAGAGCAGAGGACCACAAAGTCTAGGTTTACGGAGGCCTCGTCAAAGGCAACCGACACACAGACTTAGCTGATCCATGCTTACACAGAAAGACGCAAATAAATAAAAGTTTACTGTTGCCTCTATGAACATCTATCAACTCTCTCTCACACCCTGGTAATCACCCTTTCATACTTTACTGTAAGTGATTCAAAGACTAATTATATCCATACAGTACCCATCTATCTACACCTACTTCATCCTCCAGATATCCTGACAGAGACTCAGCACAGGCCTTAGGGCAGAGAGTCTGGCCTTGCAGAAGACACTGAGGTTAAGATTGCATGAGAATCAGCAGACCCAACACACGCACAAGCACACACATACACAGTGTGGCCCCTGTGAGAGGTTACTGACATCAATCCTTCCCTATCCTTGCTCCTGCCAGACCTACTAACTTCAGAGACTGATTAATGCCCCTGACCTTCATTCTACAGGCCACTGTCTTAGTTTCACAAGAACAGGGCTGCCTTTGCACAGCCATAAGAGGTTATTTGACTGTGAGCTCAGTATCACACGGTCAACCTTGTCCAGAAACTACCCCTAGCCCCATACAGACATCTTTGAAAAGCAAGTCTGGTAAAGAGCTTTTTTTGTCTTAAAGGGGCAGTGTTGTATTTTGAGATGACTTATTCAAGCATAAGTAGCCAATAGGCAGAGGGTAGCATAATTTGTCTGATTCTCTGTAATAATGGTATGGGAATAATGATGCATTTTATTATGTAAAGTGTTTTTTTGCATCAAACAACAACATTTTCAGTCACCTTGTCTGAAGGACAAGTGGATAAACAGGTTAATGTCGAGCTCTGCATGTTTTTTTTCCAAACGTCTCATGGAATGTAGGCCTACATTGAACACCACACATTGGCTGCTACTGTAAGTTGAATGATATAACAGCTATTTCCATGTTAAAATGTTATGGGATGCATTTTCTCCATTGTTTTTGATGGCAGGCCACTCTGGTAGGCCTACATTATGATCAAATAGCCACAGTAGCCTACTTGGCCACTGTTAAAACAAACTTAATACCTTCTAGGCACTTACCGTTAGTTCCGTACATCAATAGTGAATATTCCCTCTATCCTATCAGAGGGTAAGGTGGAACTTTGTCTATAAACATCTCCCCCCCAAACACACACACACACACACACACACGCACATCCCACCCAAACCAATTGAAACCCTTCCACTCATTCAAAGACACTGGAAGCAGCGGAAGACCACCAGTGTTTCATTTAGTTTATCTAACCAGGTGCAGAGATACAGTAGCTTATCAGTGCAGCTCACAAAAACACATTTAGAAAAGGTGAGTGAAGAGACTAAAAACATAGTCTCTCAAACTATTTCAAACTATCAACTTCAAATTAAGCTGTGAATAGCTAACCTCTGACTGAGCTTTGTAAATTATGGGTTATTATTATTAGCAGTTTGGCCATTTTGTGGACTAAATATTATAGCGGATACTTCAAATATTGTATTGACCCATTCCCAACTACATTAAATACACCAGTTGATTGAATCATGGGTTCGATGTGGGTGTAATTGGTTCAGGCGTGTACAGCTGATGACACAGCCACACTGACAGTCACTGGCCAGAAAAACAAGACTGTAGGGTCTATGGAGGTTTGGCTTGGTGCTATGTTATATCACCACAGCACCAGGCAGCACAGACATGACAACAGCAACAGCTGGGTGTGGAGCGTGCCTGGCCTCCATCTGTCTGTCTGTCCTCCTCACTCTCACTCTACTCAGAGGGCCAGGGCAAACAAGAGCATGGCTGCTAAAACTATCAAAGGAGGAGAAGGTATCTAGGAAGAGAGTCCTTTCCTCCAAAGAGCAGAAGGAAACAACGACAACATACTCAAAAACATAAACCAGGATAATGAAAAGCCACTGTACAGTAACAATAGATACTGAAATAGTGTGGGTAAAAGCTCAATGATATAGCTACATTCCAGAAACACAAAGAGAGGATGGTACAGGTTGGCACAGTCAAGTATCTGTGTATTTATAAACGCAGTAAAAAGATTCTGGTAACAAACAAAAAAAAGTGTACTGTAGTAGTACTACGATACAACCTCTGAGAGCTCTATTTACAAGAAGAGTGGGACCCACTCCTGTCCCTCTCCACAGCTGTCGTTAGTGAGTAAGCAGGAACCAATATTCTTGGTTCTTGGAGTCCTGGCCTGGGCCTGGCGTGCGTTTTGGCCCAGTGACAAGGTAATCAGATCAGACGGAGGGAGGGAATCGTCAAGGAGAGGGAAAAGAGTCAAGGCCCTAGTGAGAAGGAGCCGCTTCCTATAGGCCTGGCTGCTACACTGGTCTCTAGCCTAACCCCTGACCCCATCAGCCTCATGTAGGCCTGGCTGCTACAATGGTCTCTAGCCTAACCCCTGACCCCCTCAGCCTCATGTAGGCCTGGCTACTACACTGGTCTCTAGCCTAACCCCTGACCCCTCAGCTCATGTAGGCCTGGCTACTACACTGGTCTCTAGCCTAACCCCTGACCCCTCAGCCTCATGTAGGCCTGGCTACTACACTGGTCTCTAGCCTAACCCCTGACCCCATCAGCCTCATGTAGGGCTGCTCTCTAACCCCTGAGGGAGGTCAAGTATGCTGGTGTAATTTGCCCTTTCTCAATAGGCTAAAAACATTTCCTCTCCTTACATTTGACATTTTAGTCATTTAGCAGACACTCTTATCCAGAGCGACTTACAATAAGTGCATTCATCTTAAGATAGCTTCATTGCACCAATGCAATACACTCATCTCAAAAGAACTAGAGGGCAGATTTTAAGACTCTTTGAGAAAGAGCCAAATAGCCTCAGTCTCACCTACTAACAGTCAGTTTTCAATACTACCAGGAGTTGTTGCTACTACAAGTAGCTATTTAAGTATCAATACCAACACGGGTGAGTTCTGCCCAAATAGCGTGTCAGATCTACAGGCTGATACCTACTGCTCTGTTTTACTGATATGGTGATCAGTCTGGATCCTGCAGTTCAATCCAAACCAGCTTTTCTTCCCAACACAACACAGAACAAATGAGCTGCTATAATCTCAGCGTAACCAATCTAACCTGTGCACAATACTGTTTACAAGGCATGTAAAAGGAGAGGAATGGGACTCTGTACAGAGGAGTCTGAACCTCCCCATAACCAGCTGTGGGTTTAGGGGACCAGTGGTGGTATACAGAATTATTTTACAACACTGTTTATTACACGATTAAGTAACAGTGCCAGAGAAGTGTGGGAGAGAGGAATATAATTCAGATTAATTAGGAACTCATTATAGACAGACAACCATACACTGAGGGGAGGTGTGTGTGTGTGCACGAGTGTGTGGGTGGCCACAGAGCGTACTGGACTGTTAAGATTTAATTACTACCCCACCCCTTTCAGTTATCATCCTACCCTAAGGGCCTGCTTATGGTCTGACCAACCGACAAACAAATGGTCCATTTTGTGTTTGTTCGCTGCTCAGTCCTGCTGACTAAACGAAACAAGGCACTTTAACTGGGTATAGACCCACACATTGTATTTGGCAATACACAAAGCACTGAGCAGGGCCTCCATTACAAAGCTCTCTCTGTGGTTTGGTGGAACAGCCGTTAGCTTGGGGATGAGCCAGGGGCCCTTGGCCAACTTCCAGCAGGTCTCGACCCAAAACGCACTGAGGCTACTTGGACTGGACCCGATGTTCTGGGAATCCAATAGGACAGCCTGTTTAGTATGTCACTAAGTTGCTCCCAGCAAGCATCCCTGCCTGCTGCCTAGGCCAGTGTGAGAGAAATCTAGGGCATGGGCTTCAAAGCAAGCAAGACCCTCAGGATGGAGAAAATAGGATTTGTGGTCGACATCAGCACATGCACATTTAATCAATAGAGCACATGAATAGTCTGGGGAGAAAAAATAAAGAATAGAAAGAGGAGGGGAATTTTGGTGGTTGGAGGAGTGCAGTTCTGTTCAGAAAGAAACACAGAATGGATCTTTCAGCTCTGGTCTGGTTCTAGAATTCATTCCTGAATCCTGCACACAGCCACCCCAACTCTCCAGAGTCCCAAAGCACCTAGAGAACACAACTCAGCTAGAGATAGTAAAACATGAACTGCACAACAAACGAGCTCCCCGCAGCTGCTCCTAAGCCTCTATTTTGGGAGGCTAGCCAATACCCCTGCAGGTGAGCATTTTACCTTTCCCGAAGAAGAAATTCAGGATCAAGAGATCTTTACTGTAAAAAAACACCCTGAACAGGTATGGTTCAGTATTAACACACACAAAAAGTACCCTTTCACACACACAACAGTAGCAGACCTGCAGGGCTGTGTTCAACGCTGCACCACTAACAGGCTGCTTTTCCTCTAATAAATTCAGGTTGATGTTTATTGTCATGAGTCTTGCATTGGAGGCAGAAAGAACTGAGTGGTTTCCGCTAGATGAGCATGCTGCAATGTCAAAATTGTCTATATCGTAAAATTAATGAAAACAAACATTTGCTTTTTAGTCTTCATTTAAGGTCAGGCATTAGGGTTAGCAGTGTGGTTAAGGTTAGGGTTAAAATCAGATTTTATGACTGTGGTAGTGCCAGCTAGTGACCACTCTGCAGAGCTGCCTCCAGAACATGAGTCATCTCAATAAATGCCAACCTGCCTAATAAACACCAATCAGAGTGATGTGGTAACAGACCCTGGCAACAACATCCCACCTGCTCACTACTATCGTAATATCAAACAGCCTTGAAGATCAATAAACATGAATTGAATGAGTCTCTTAGCATCAACATGACAGCAAAAGCCAACTTAGACACTCAATAACAACACATCTAGGGCTCTAGGGTTTCTGCACATCAGGTACTGAATGAATCACTACTGTGTATGTCTGAACAATTTATTTTGTACACATGCAGAAGTAGAGAGGAGATTCAGCAATTTGGAGAGTTAGGTAGCGGCAGTGCTCCCTTCTCTTTGCACACCTACCTGAGCAGAGGATGCCCTTGTGTCGGGCACAGGAGAAGTCGTCACACTCGCAGAAGGTCCCGTAGATCTTCCCGAACTCTGACTCGTAGCAGAGGCACTGGTTACAGCTGCACTCCCCTCTCCCACCACAGATCTGCTTCCCTTCCGCCTCCCTACAGGTGGTCAGGTACATGCTGCCAGCCTCACCCTCCTGGCACTCACAGCGGGCGCCCAGGTAGCCCGGATCACAGCGGCAGGTACCACAGGTGTACTGTCCGATGGAGCTGCAGTGGCTACTGTTAGCCTGGGTCCAGTCGGTGCAGCCACAGTCACAGCGGTAGTCCACTGACACCTCCAGACGATCCTTGAAGCCCACAGGTTTGATGGTGAATCTCTGCTGGGTGCCTGGGGCGGGGCAGCCCCTAGCGTCCACACTGACGTTGAAGGACACCTGGAAGAAATTAGAACAGTACAACAGGGTTACTATATGGACTGGACTTACACAAGTTGCCACAATTTCTCAATCAAGGAGTTTTACACAAACCAATGTCCATAGTGACTATTAGTCATACTCATAACTGAATTTTAAAAAAGCCTCCACAACCTGGATCCATCACATTTACACCATCTACCTCCAGATGAACCTATTTTGCTCATATTAAGGCTTGGCTGTGACAGGACTGTGAACTACATAAATTATGACCTGCAAGCTATGTTTATACGTGTGTGTGTGTGTGTGTGTGTGTGTGTGTGTGTGTGAGTGAGTGAGTGAGAGAGTTCAGAGAAGAGATTGTGGCTTTGAGTCAGTTAGTTGATTAATAACAGCCAATTCAAGCAGCAGATGACACAGACAGGACAGGACCTCCACCCATTTAATTGCTCTGAGGAAGGAAGTCTGAACAAGACAGAAACTCCACCCTCCCTTTAGATTGGCCTGTCTCAACAGGAACAGTTACGTTGATTGGAAGATGGTGCTGCAGTGGATAGCAGTCGTCTTACGGGCTCCAGAATAATTCTGCTATTTTTTGTGTGTTTTTTATGCTGATCCCCCCAAAAATTGAACATAATGTCTCCGCCATCATTTTTTATGACCAAAAACAGCTTTTGGACACCAGGGGCCGGATGCACCAGTTGAGTTTAATGGCTGTGAAAGGAGAAAACTGAGGATGGATCAATAACATTGTAGTTACTAACCTAATTGACAGAGTGAAAAGGAAGCAAGCCTGTATGGAATAAAAATATTCCAAAACATGCATCCTGTTTGCAACAAGGCACTAAAGTAATACTGAAGAAATGGTGGCAAAACAATTAACTTTTTGTTCTGAATACGAAGTGTTATGTTTGGGGTAAATCCAATCCAATACATTACTGAGGCACACTCTCCATATTTTCAAGCATAGTGGTGGCTGCATCATGTTGTGGGTATGCTTGTAATCGCCAAGAACTGGGAATTTTTTCAGGATAAAAAAATTAATTAAATGGCGCTAAGCACAGGCAACATCCTAGAGGAAAACCTGGTTCAGTGTGCTTTCCACCAGCCACTGGTAGATTAATTCACCTTTCAGCAGGACAATAACCTAAAACACAAGGCTACAATCTACACTGGAGTTGCTTACCAAGAAGACAGTGAATGTTCCTGAGTGGCTGAGTTAGTTTTGACGTAAATCTACTTGAAAATCTATGGCAAGACCTGAAAATGGTTGCCTAGTAATGATCAACAACCAATTTGAACAGATCTTCAAGAAATTTGAAAAGAATAATGGGCAAATATCATACAATCCAGGTGTGCAAAGCTCTTAGAGACTTACCCAGAAAGAATCACAGCTGTAATCGCTGCCAAAGGTGATTCTAACATGTATTGACTCAGGGGTGTGAATACTTATGTAAATGAGATATAAGCTATAATAAGTGGAGGATAGTATACGCCCAGGAATAGCTCATAGAAGGGAATATGCCCAGGTGGTGCAACAGGTATAATCTTTACGTCCGCCTAGAGCACATTTTACGTTGAACGTAGAGTTACGACCAACTGGTGCAATCGGCCACAGATCAGCGATCACTAACCTCAATCATGTTATTTTTACTCATTATTATTCACTGTGTATTTATTCCTCGTGTCACCATTTGATTGAAGTGCATTACTGTTTTCTTCTCTGTAGCTCAACTGCTACAGCAACCATCTCCAGTGTGTGTGTGTGTGTGCGCGACTGCCTGTCGTTGATGAGGCAGTGTGTTATTCTTTGTGGTTTCACTCCCTTTAGATGGGATAATGGTGTGAATTCCTCCAGTTAAACTGATACTACCATAAATCTACAAACCTGCAATGTACAGTATACGTGTCAGTTGATATATCATCACTTTCCATAAAACCTTAGAGTGTTTTCCAAAGCGCCAGAGGCAAAACATCTTTAAACTGGGTAATTCTGCCCAAAGAAAACATAAGGATCGACTTCAATAACATCAAATAGAATACATATGAAATGTGGTTAGCTTTTCAATACTTAATACAGCTCTGGATGAGAGCATTGATACTTTCAACCACAAAAACATTTTACTGAAGAGAAAAGATAATCAGAGGCAGCTGTAGGGGTATTTCAGGAAGGATGTCCTTCCATGAGGTAGGTCTGATAAGGTTCACTCTTCCACATCAGTCTCTTTCTGCCAGTGGTTCCAGATGAGTGAAGAAGCACACACACACACACACACACACACCTGTCTACAGGAGGCCTATGTGTCCTTTGGCAGTGTCGAGCCCTGCGGGGTCGTGGGAGGTGGAGAGGCAGGGATGTGAGGATGTGAGGGGGCACATACTGTGCTTTGAAGTTTAGCTCCCGAGTCTGAAGGCCACAGCCCTCTGGACTGCAGCCCCAAAGCCAAACACTCAGATGCTTGGGCCGTGTTGATGTTGGCAGCAGCTCTGCACGCAACGCAAGGATCTGAGTCTTCAGGAGAGAAAGAGAGCGTCGGCCTGTCACTCAGAATACAGGACCTTTCGCGCTCGCTCTATGGGTATCAATTTCTTCCATCTTCCCTTCCTCTTTCAATGAGAAGTGAACATCAACTGGCTTAGTGGTGAAGAGGTCACAGTATCACAGACCCTGCTGGGTGAGCCTCTGTGACTAATATGAAACGCTGTACAATATTAAGCAATGTGAGGGTGGGGCTGTGTGTGGAGTAAACACTTATGACATCATCAACCTGCGACATCTGTCCAACCCAACCATTGGCTTATGACATCATCAACCTGCGACATCTGTCCAACCCAAACCATTGATCTAGTTAGTAGGTGATCAATGTCCATAGGTAATACGGAAACATGAGTCAACTAAGAAAATAACAACATCAACAAAGCTATTGTCATTCACAAGCACAACATGGTGGAAGAACAGGATGTGACAGCAGAGTTGTGGTATGTTCCTCCTGAGTACTAGACAAGCCTCCAATCAGAATCCACAGGAAGGAAGGGCCCACATAACACATGGAAGATGAGTAACCTAACTCAGTCTTGAGTCAATAAGTATTCAACCCCTTTGTTATGGCAAGCCTAAATAAGTTCAGGATAAAACATTTGCATAATAAGTTGCATGGACTCACTGTGTGCAATAATAGTGTTTAACATGATTTTTTTATGACTACTTCATCTCTGTACCCCACACATACAGATAATTGTACCTCAGTCGAACAGTGAATTTCAAAACACAGATTCAACCACAAAGACCAGGGAGGTTTTCCAATGCCTTGCAAAGAAGGGCACCTATTGGTAGATGGAAAAAAAAGATATTGAATATCCCTTTGAGCATGGCGTTATTAATTACACTATGGATGGTGTATCAAAGCACTCACTCACTACAAAGATACAGGCGTCCTTCCTAACTCAGTTGCCGGGAAGGAAGGAAACCCCTCAGCGATTTCACCATGAGGCCAATGTTGACTTTAAATCAGTTACAGAGTTGAATGGCTGTGATAGGAGAAAATTGAGGATGGCAATACTAACCTAATTGACAGTGAAAAAAAGGAAGCCTGTATGGAATAAAAAAATTCCAAAACATGCATCCTGTTTGCAACAAGGCACTAAAGTAATACTGAAGAAAATGTGTCAAAGCAATTAACTTTTTGTTCAGAATACAAAGTGTTATGTTTGGGGTAAATCCAACACAACACATTACTGAGTACCACACTCCATATTTTCAAGCATAGTGGTGGTTGCATCATGTTATGGGTATGCTTGTAATCGTTAAGGACTGGGGAGTTTTTCAGGATAAAAAATAAACCGAATGGAGCTAAGTACAGGCAAAATCCTAGAAGAAAACCTGGTTCAGTCTGCTTTCCACCAGACACTGGGAGATTAATTCACCTTTCAGCAGGACAATAACCTAAAACACAAGGCCAAATATACACTGGAGTTGCTTACCAAGAAGACAGCGAATGTTACCGAGTGGTCGAGTTACAGTTTTGACCTAAATCTACTTGAAAATCTATGGCAAGACCTGAAAATGGTTGTCTAGCAATGATCAGAAACCAATTTGACAGAGCTTGAAGAATTTTGAAAAGAATAATGGGCAAATCTTGCACAATCCAGGTGTGGAAAGCTCTTAGGGTGAGACTTACCCAGAAAGACTCAACTATAATCGCTGCCAAAACGTGCTTCTACAATGTATTGACTCAGGGGTGTGAATACTTATGTAAAGGATATATTTCTGTATTTCATTTTCAATAAATGTTTGTATTTTTAATTTTTTACATTCACTTTGTCATTATGGGATATTGTGTTTCCATTTAGAATTCAGGCTGTAACAACAGCGTGTAGAATAAGTCAAGGGGTATGAATACTTCCTGAAGGCACTGTACAGGATCTTCATTTTGTTGCTGAGAAATGCAGATGAGCTTCATGATTTACATAAAGTCACTGAAAACCCGCACTAAGACACGGTTATATTACCATTGCACTTTTCATGTAGCCTAATAGCCTAAACACTGATCAAGCAACATTATGGACTATACTGGTCAAATTAAGATCCTACATCTATATGGGACATATTTAGTACTGTTTAGGGTTTGAGAGTGTTGCAGTGAAAGGAATGTGGGCTAACACACATTTCTGTTACCATGATGTCTTTGTTCTTTAAATCACCTCTGCTTTCACCAACCCTTCTTTCTCCAACTTTTGTTGTGAGGACATTGACATGCAGCATCAGGGCCCAGAGCAAGGCTGCAGCCAGAGACCCTGTGACTGACACCTGGGAGCTTTCCCAATTCCTCCTCCCTCTATTCCTTGCATCCTCTTTGCTCACCTCCTTTTTAGGAGGACAGATTGGCACTCAGAGGCCTACGCAGCAAATACCCCCGCTGCAGAACAAAAGACAGAGTTAGACCCATCACCCTGGCCATGCAGAGATGGGATTCCCCCATTCACTACCATTATTAATTCACCCTCCATCCCCACACCCATTCCCTACATTCAATTAAGACAAATAAGGAATCAGTGAGAGAGACACTGGGGCTTTGGGGAGAAGAATTCCACAGGGTCGGATCTCTGCGTGGTGGAGTGTACAAAGTAGCCCCTTGCTAAGAGTTTCAATAGATCTTGTACAAATCCTCATTGAGACCCCTGTAGAGGGGCCTGAGGATTTGAACAGTGCACAATTCAAAGTGATTAAAATGTGCAGTGATCCCACGTCACCTGACCTTTCTTAAGAGTTTTGTTCGCCGAAACAAAGGAAGAGAAGAATGCATTCCATCTAAATGGCAAGAACATGTTGGAACACAATTAAAAGCCAGCTAAAATATTCTCCTCCTGTCAAATTATTCCCTCCCCCCCTCCCACCCCACACATGTAGGTCTACTCCCACTAAAACGCTTTCTGTGGAGGCTACTGATCTCCCATAGACTACTTTATCCAAAGCCATCCAAAATAGCGTATTTGGAGGGCTATTTGGAAAGCACAACTGATTTCCAACTGCAGTGTTCAGAAGCCAAGAATAAGTTCAGTCAGTTCAAACTCCCACTGCTATCCCAGGAAGAGGATGACCCTTGCCTTGAGAATGGCCAGTATCTGTCGAGACAGAGTGTGTATGTGTGTGTTGGTTAGAGACAGCAAGTTATGGAGTTCCAGAGAAGGGATGGACACCATGACTTAAGTTTTCCAAAACAAAAATAAGCATTTTTGCCACCCCGTTTTGCTTTCTTCTGAGGGAAAGAATATGTTTGCATTTTTTCAGTCACCGATCTGCTCATGTCAAATGCATTAAGCAGAAAAGAGAAGGGTCAAATTTGAGCACACACACATGTTAACTGTTAAAGAGAGTTAGCAAAGCAGCACAACAACATTGTTGTCCTGAGGTGAACTGAACTGTCCCGGTCTCCCAAACTTCTCTCTCAAGGCACTCAGCCTGGGTGATTTTCCTTAAGCCCGTCTAGAGTTTAACACAAGGCCGATATCGCTCCTTTAGTAATAAGGGAGGCTGAGATTTAGTCTCCTGGCAACTGCAGTTTAATTTAATCAAACAGGAACTCCAAACTTAAGAGGATTGAAAGGTCACACAGTGTATTGCCAGTGCTGCCAAGTCACAACTTGCTTTCTTTAGTCAGTTATTCGCTGGCTGGGTGGATGATATCCATGATATCCCTGTCAGCGTTGCAGAGAGACATGCCACTGGGCTAACTAAGCTTTAATGCAAATACCACATGAGGCATCTGTCCACAGGCTGGAATTACATCCTGTTACAGTTGTGTTGCTTCATTCACACGTGTCCATGACATAACAACCAGGTCACTTCCTGTATGTTAGGCAGGAAGGGAAAGTTTCACTGGGTCACTATCAGGCAAAGCTGCAAACTCGGAAGTTCAACAATTACGGTCCTAAAAATCTGATTTTATAACCAACCCTAACCTTTGATGAAGACCAAAAAGCGTATTTTTGTTTATATACATTTTCACGATATAGTCAATTTTGACTTTCCAGCTTGGCCATATAGTGCAAACCCATGGGAAGCCAGGAGGCCTGTGAGACTCACAGTGTCTCCGATCTTGAGGTCGGCACACTTCCTGAGGCCTGGTAGAGGCTGTCCGTCCTGACAGGTGGCGGTGAAGGATAGACTGAGGTCTTCAGGTTGATCCCACACAGTCAGCTCCACTTTGGACCGGATGTTCTGGAGGGACGACACAGAGAGAGAGAGAGACAGCCAGAGAGACAGAGACAGAGATTGGATGAACTCACAGATGCATTTGCCTTGAACACAAAAACACACAGACAGATATACAGATAGACAGACACACACGTATGAATAAGTACTTTTGACATTTGCATCAAAGTAGTAAATGTGTGATTTATTTGAAAACAAGACAGATGATCCACTGGTCAACTATCCAAACAAGTCTGATCAAAGACTCCTAAAAATAGATTTCCAGTCTGTCTGTATATTAGAGTTGGCACATTGGAAACCACCAGGGAACCTTACTATTTGAATGTTAAATGCTTCCAGTACCCCTGGCACTGGATCCACTCAGAACCACCACCACTCAGTATTTTATAATGAAACCAGTAAGAACCTGTTATTCAATCTGTTAGCAGTCAGGGTGGAAAAGAGAGAAAGAGAATTGGAAAGAGAGTAAAATGCCTTGGTTAAGCAAGATTTATACAGTTCATTCCGTCTTGTGTAAACCTCCCCCAAACCTACAGCGGTTCGGTTGGCATGGATGGAAGGGGGGCGTGGCTTTGCTGCTACATGCCAGCCGTGTCTGTACTTTATGTGCAAGTGTGCGTTCACTCCAGTGCATCAAAGCTACAGAACTGTGAAAGGGGGTAATCAGCACCATGCCTGACTGACAGATACCCATGATTGATCTCTGCCCTGCTTTGGCCTATTTTGGAAAAATAACACAATGAACTGATAACTAAATGTGTTGAAATACCTAAATGCCTATGTGCTCAAACTTCACAACACTCAACAAAGATACAATTACGATACAAACCAAATGTGGTGCCATCTGCCCATCGAGTAAAGTGAACAGAATGTAGGCTCAGCTGGTAGAGCACGGCGCTTGTAACGCCAAGGTAGTGGGTTCGAGCCCCGGGACCACCCATACACAAAAAAAAAAAAAAAAAATGTATGCACGCATGACTGTAAGTCGCTTTGGATAAAAGCGTCTGCTAAATGGCATATTATATTATTATTATTATAGGCTACTTTACAACACAACATCATCCATATTGGACCCCTCAACACTGCCTGATACCATTATCAGTTGTAGACTAAACTCTTGTGTCCTTAACTATGCAAAATGAAGTTGTTGTTCTCTCAAACACAGAAGGAAAAAATGCTTGACTGAAAAAACACAGCTTGATTGGATAATATTTTTTGGGAAAGTTGACTAAAAACAGGCAAATACTTTGGTTTTAAAATATTCAAAATACATGGAGAAAGATATTATTTTCTCCCTTAAAATGTTTTTTTCTCTCAACTAGTCAAAAAAAGTGAATTATATAACTGCTTTCCTGCAGTGCATTAAAGGCTAAATCTGCCATTTCAACAGCCTGACTCTGCCAGTTTGTTTGGTAAGCTGAGGTATGGGGCTGGAGCAATGTAGCCAAACCACTCTCAAAATCAAAGACTGTGGCTTTAAGATCCCCTATATGGCCAAACCAGAGCCACAGTGTCAGAGTACTTACTCAGTGATCTAGGGTCAGGTTTTAGTCAACAGACCTCAGCACAATAATACAAGACAGGATTATTCCATGCTTTGAGAATGGATTATGAGAGTGTCTTCTGTGACAATTATAAACACTAACATCCAATTATAATTCAACACCATTTGAGGCCCCGGCTTAACTTTGGTAGAATGAAGATTATAGATTTATCATGACCCATAAATTGAAGACTGGTGGTGATTTAAATCTGCTATTTATATTGTTGATCTTTCCATAAATGTGAATTGTAAACGAGGACAACAAGATGTAAATCTCCTAACACACCAGTCTATAGCCGTTTATCCAGCACAGCAGAGCTGTGACCTCATTTATTCAAGAATGTTGCCAGGACAAATATTTAGCAACTTTATGAAAAACAGCCGGTTGGATCCTTGGATTAAAATATTGTGTTTAAAAACACACAAGAAGCCCTTCTAGAATCCTTTTCAGGCCCTTCGAAAACCCTTCCTTCAAAGTACTGGAATGATGGAATCTATTTCCTGTATGGAGGGGACTGGGGAGTAGCAGGAGGGTCTCACCGCCTCAGTGTCCATATACCTGCTTCTTGTTCAGTAACCCTAAAGTGCTAGTGCATAGTTAAAGACACAGGGCCGTAGTGTGAGCCAGGAGTAGTAACCCCCAGATCACCACAGCAAATAGGGGGGGCTGGGTGAGGCTCTCCATATCCAATGCTAAAGCATAAACATTCAACACTTCCTCGTCCTCTAGACACTGGGGCCATGTTCAGTAGGGCTCACAGTTTTGCAATGGAAAACAAAAATGACAGGTTCAGGGAATACCTGTCTGTTTCCCGGTTTCAAAATGTGTTCAACCAACTGTCAACCAAAATCAATTTCAGAAGAGGACTGCTGAGCGACATTCTCTTTCCTTCTCAAGCACACACACAATATGTGCTCTAAATGGGAGAGAACGCGCATTTACTTACATTGTAGGCATTAACGATGAGTTGGATGATGTTCTTGGAGTCCTGATCCAGAATCTCCACTGTAGTTCCAGGTATCAGTGCTGTGAAATTCTGCATAAACATGAGATATGATTTTTTAAATTAAATAAACAAATATTTACAGCAATTAACACAATATCAAAGGCCACCATTCACACCAAACTATACACACCATACACAGCTACTCTCAATATCTATAAAAAAAATTTACAGTGTCTTGCAAAAGTATTCATCCCCCTTGGCGTTTTTCCTATTTTGGTGCATTACAACCTGTAATTTAAATTGATTTTTATTTGAATTTCATGTAATGGACATACACAAAATAGTCAAAATTGGTGAAGTGAAATGAAAAAAATAACTTGTTTCAAAAAAATCTAAAACATAAATAACGGAAAAGTGGTGCGTGCATTGTATTCACCCCCTTTGTTATGAAGCCCCTAAATAAGATCTGGTGCAACCAATTACCTTCAGAAGTCACATAATTAGCTAGATTGCACACAGGTGGACTTTATTTAAGTGTCACATGATTGGTCACATGATCTCAGTATATATACACACCTGTTCTGAAAGGCCCCAGAGTCTGCAAGACCACTAAGCAAGGGGCACCACCAAGCAAGCGGCACCATGAAGACAAAGGAGCTCTCCAAACAGGTCAGGGGCATAGTTGTGGAGAAGTACAGATCAGGGTTGGGTTATAAAAAAATATCAGAAACTTTGAACATCCCACGGAACACCATTAAATCCATTATTAAAAAATGTAAAGAATATGGCACCACAACAAACCTGCCAAGAGAGGGCCGCCCACCAAAACTCACAGACCAGGCAAGGAGGGCATTAATCAGAGAGACAACAAAGAGACCAAAGATAACCCTGAAGGAGCTGCAAAGCTCCACAGCGGAGATTGGAGTATCTGTCCATAGGACCACTTTAAGCCGTACACTCCACAGAGCTGGGCTTTACGGAAGAGTGGACAGAAAAAAGCCATTGCTTAAAGAAAAAAATAAGCAAACACGTTTGGTGTTCGCCAAAAGGCATGTGGGAGACTCCCCAAACATATGGAAGAAGGTACTCTGGGAAACTGGTCAGAATTGAAGGAATGATGGATGGCGCTAAATAAAGGGAAATTCTTGAGGGAAACCTGTTTATCTTCTAGAGATTTGTGACTGGGACAGAGGTTCACCTTCCAGCAGGACAATGACCCTAAGCATACTGCTAAAGCAACACTTGAGTGGTTTAAGGGGAAACATTTAAATGTCTTGGAATGGCCTAGTCAAAGCCCAGACCTCAATCCAATTGAGAAACTGTGGTATGACTTAAAGATTGCTGTGCACCAGCGGAACCCATCCAACTTGAAGGAGTTGGAGCAGTTTTGCCTTGAAGAATGGGCAAAAATCCCAGTGGCTAGATGTGCCAAGCTTATAGAGACATACCTCAAGAGACTTGCAGCTGTAATTGCTGCAAAAGGTGGCTCTACAAAGTATTGACTTTGGGGGGGTGACTAGTTATGCACGCTCAAGTTCTGTTTTTTTTGTCTTATTTCTTGTTTGTTTCACAATAAAAAATATTTTGCATCTTCAAAGTGGTAGGCATGTTGTGTAAATCAAATGATACAAACCCCCCAAAAAATCTATTTTAATTCCAGGTTGTAAGGCAAGAAAATAGGAAAAATGCCACGGGGGGTGAATACTTTCGCAAGCCACTGTACCTTGTAAATGACATAGAGCCTTTTAGTCACAGCGAAGATGAGATAGATGTTGTTCTCCGCCAGCTTCTCTCCCAATAGAGCCAGAGAGGGATAGTCCTGCAGACAGACAGAAAGATAGATATAAATGCATGGAAGAGGATGTTAGAGGCATTTCTTCAAGTTCTCATTAGTTTCGCTTCCATTTCACCCCGTCAGGAAGTTAGTGAAGGGAAGTCATTGCTCCTCTGATTCCAGTGTTGTGTTTACATTAGAGTCCCCCGACATTTCATTTCTCACCAGCAGAAAGAAGGACAAAGAAGCCTGAAGTGATTTAGACCTATTTATTTACAGCTCTGCACAAAAGTTGTGCATTGAAGAGTGAATCCTAACTTCCACTTAAGTCAAATTTACACTATAGCCAAGGCATGACTGAGTAAAATGTGTAAGCATTTAATAAGCAATCAGATTTGAGATTTTTGGCTTCAGTAAGCCTTTATTATTGTGTACATCCGAATCAATCAACGGTGAGATTAACACTTGAAATGGGCCGTGAGGTTCAACGGTTTCACTGAAAAACGGAGTGCTGTTCTGGGAAGCACCCATTCTTCCATCCCACATTCAGATGAGATGAGGGGAAACATGTTTAGCCTGTTTGGGGATGAATCAAACTGAGGATCCATTGATGATGTAGTCTTGATTTGTGTTGGAGTACCTCCACTGAACTTAATGTGTTGAGACGTAACATGACTCTACCAAGCCCAGAGCACCAAATGACACACAGCAGAACAGGGGCAGCAAATAACTATAGAAAAATGTTGTGATTCCGGGAGAATACAAAAACTTGAATTTACTTAATCCATTTTCATATCATTGAGTTGGATTGGTTGAAATGCGCATGATGTTAATTATCTTTTTATTGCATTAGCTCCTCGGAAATCATATGTAAACTCAAACTGTGCATAAACATATCTCTTTGTTTATGTGATGCCCTCTCATCGTACAAAATCCAAAACCTTTTTAGAACAAAAAAAATGTGCTTCACGTGGCTTTCACCATTTCTTTATGTCCTCGCTTAAGACTGCTGAGCTCTCGCCCTAACTACTGTCTAAATTAACTCCTAAGTGAACTTCCCTGAGTTCATTAAAGTTTTACCTTCAGCATCATATGGCTGTCCGGAGATAAGCAGCAGCAATAAGACATGAAGTGAGTTCCCAATAAAGTCAGTTGGCGCTCCACTAGGAGCAGAGCAAGGCTCAGGGAACTAACATACCTCAGAGTTTACATTGCATTCCTCCTTATCTAAACCTAGACTGGCTCTGGCCATCATCAAAGAATCAGACCAGCGGTTGAAAATCTTTAGTCATTGATGTTAGCTTTACCTCAAAGCAATCCATCTGGACCAAGTCTATTCTTGAGAGCTGCTGCTTGAGTAGGGAATTTGAATATCTATTGAACAAGCCTAGCATCCTAGTTCTATATTACACTGACAATGTGGATAAAAATGACCCACGTCAAATAAGTTACAGTGCGTAGAGAAGAGTTGACTGTACTCTATAATTGTGTTTGTTTGTATGTGTTTAATAACATAGGTAATCATGTTGTAAACACCTTTTCTTTTTTTTCACCCCCTTTTTCTCCCCAATTTCGTGATATCCAATTGCGATCCAATTACCATCTTATCTCATCGCTGCAACTCCCCAAAGGCTCGGGAGAGGCGAAAGTCGAGTCATGCGTGCTCTGAAACATGACCCGCTGCTTCTTAACACCCGCTCGCTTAACCACGAAGACAGCTGCACCAATGTGTCAGAGGAAACACTGTTCAACTGACGACCAAAGTCAGCTTGCAGGCATCTGGCCCGCCACAAGGAGTCGCTAGAGCACGATGGGCCAAGGAAAGCCCCCCCGCCAAACCCTCCTCTAACCCGGACGACGCTGGGCCAATTGTGCTCCCGGTCATCGTCTCAACACAACTAAACAATAGCTGGAACGACCTAGCGAACAGACGCGAACTGGCTGAGTCGATTCAGTGGTTAGCTTTGCACTTGGCTGGCTAACAATAGCTGCTAGGGGTAAGTTATAACCTACATTTGTGTTTTGTTTTTACATACTGGTAACCAGAGTCTTTCAAGGGAATTCGGGACATGGGTGACTAGTTAACGTTAGCTTGGCTCTCTCTGTGTGTTCGTGCCATCTCCGACCACTACTTTGTATCCTTTTCTCTCTCGCTCTCCTCCAACACTACTCACTCTGCCCCTACTCAGATTGTAATGCGCCGTCGCAACCTTCGCTCTCTCTCTCCCGCTACTCTCTCCTCTTCCATCCTATCATCTCTTCCCTCTGCTCAATCCTTCTCCCTCCAATCTCCTGATTCTGCCTCCTCACCTCCCTTTCTGCATCCTTTGACTCTCTATGTCCCCTATCCTCCCGGCCGGCTCGGTCCTCCCCTCCTGCTCCGTGGCTTGACGACTCATTGCGAGCTCACAGAACAGGGCTCCGGGCAGCTGAGCGGAAATGGAGGAAAACTAGACTCCCGTCGGACCTGGCATCTTTTTACTCCCTCCTGTCTACATTTTCTTCCTCTGTTTCTGCTGCTAAACCACTTTCTACCACTCTAAATTCCAAGCATCTGCCTCTAACCCTAGGAAGCTCTTTGCCACCTTCTCCTCCCTGCTGAATCCTCCTCCCCCTCCCCCCTCTGTGGATGACTTCGTCAACCATTTTGAAAAGAAGGTTGACGACATCCGATCCTCGTTTGTTAAGTCAAATGACACCGCTGGTCCTGCTCACACTGCCCTACCCTATGCTTTGACTTCTTTCTCCCCTCTCTCTCCAGATGAAATCTTGCGACTTGTGACGGCCGGCCGCCCAACAACCTGCCCGCTTGACCCTATCCCCTCCTCTCTTCTCCAGACCATTTCCGGAGACCTTCTCCCTTACCTCACCTCACTCATCAACTCATCCTTGACTGCTGGCTATGTCCCTTCCGTCTTCAAGAGAGCGAGAGTTGCACCCCTTCTCAAAAAACCTACACTCGATCCCTCCGATGTCAACAACTACAGACCAGTATCCCTTCTTTCTTTTCTCTCCAAAACTCTTGAGCGTGCCATCTTTAGCCAACTCTCTTGCTATCTCTCTCAGAAAGACCTTCTTGATCCAAACCAGTCAGGTTTCAAGACTGGTCATTCAACTGAGACTGCTCTTCTCTGTGTCACAGAGGCTCTCCGCACTGCTAAAGCTAACTCTCCCTCTTCCTTCTAGACCTATCTGCTGCCTTTGATACTGTGAACCATCAGATCCTCCTCTCCACCCTCTCCGAGTTGGGCATCTCCGGCGCGGCTCACTCTTGGATTGCGTCCTACCTGACAGGTCGCTCCTACCAGGTGGCGTGGCGAGAATCTGTCTCCGCACCACGTGCTCTCACCACTGGTGTCCCCCAGGGCTCAGTTCTAGGCCCTCTCCTATTCTCGCTATACACCAAGTCACTTGGCTCTGTCATATCCTCACATGGCCTCTCCTATCATTGCTACGCAGATGACACACAATTAATATTTTCCTTTCCCCCTTCTGATAACCAGGTGGCGAATCGCATCTCTGCATGTCTGGCAGACATATCAGTGTGGATGACGGATCACCACCTCAAGCTGAACCTCGGCAAGACGGAGCTGCTCTTCCTCCCGGGGAAGGACTGCCCGTTCCATGATCTCGCCATCATGGTTGACAACTCCGTTGTGTCCTCCTCCTAGAGTGCAAAGAGACTTGGCGTGACCCTGGACAACACCCTGTCGTTCTCCGCTAACATCAAGGCGGTGACCCGATCCTGTAGGTTCATGCTCTACAACATTCGCAGAGTACGACCCTGCCTTACACAGGAAGCGGCACAGGTCCTAATCCAGGCACTTGTCATCTCCCGTCTGGATTGCTGCAACTCGCTGTTGGCTGGGCTCCCTGCCTGTGCCATTAAACCCCTACAACTCATCCAGAACGCCGCAGCCCGTCTGGTGTTCAACCTTCCCAAGTTCTCTAACGTCACCCCGCTCCTCCGCACACTCCACTGGCTTCCAGTTGAAGCTCGCATCTGCTACAAGACCATGGTGCTTGCCTACGGAGCTGTGAGGGGAACGGCACCTCCGTACCTTCAGGCTCTGATCAGTCCCTACACCCAAACGAGGGCATTGCATTCATCCACCTCTGGCCTGCTGGCTCCCCTACCTTTGCGGAAGCATAGTTCCCGCTCAGCCCAGTCAAAACTGTTCGCTGCTCTGGCACCCCAATGGTGGAACAAGCTCCCTCACGACGCCAGGACAGCGGAGTCACTCACCACCTTCCGGAGACATTTGAAACCCCACCTCTTTAAGGAATACCTGGGATAGGATAAAGTAATCCTTCTACCCCCCCCTTACCCCACCCCCCCAAAAAAATAAAAAATATTGTAAAGTGGTTGTCCCACTGGCTATCATAAGGTGAATGCACCAATTTGTAAGTCGCTCTGGATCAGAGCGTCTGCTAAATGACAAAATGCAAATGTAACCCAAATGTTAGACCGCTGCGCCACTCGGGAGGCCGTACACACCTTTTCTATTCAAATACTATCCATACTGTCTATACACACCATCATATACACTACCGTTCAAAAGTTTGGTGTCACTTAGAAATGTCCTTGTTTTCAAAAGAAAAGCAATTTTGTTGTCCATTAAAATAACATCAAATTGATCAGAAATACAGTGTAGACATTGTTAATGTTGTAAATGGCTATTGTAGCTGGAAACGGCTGATTTTTAATGGAATATCTACATAGGCGTACAGAGGCCCATTATCAGCAACCATCAGTCCTGTGTTACAATGGCACGTTGTGTTTGCTAATCCAAGTTTATCATTTTAAAAGGCTAATTGATCATTAGAAAACCCTTTTGCAATTATGTTAGCACAGCTGAAAACTGTTGTGCTGATTAAAGAAGCAATAAAACGGGCCTTCTTGAGACTAGTTGAGTATCTGGAGCATCAGCAATTGTGGGTTCGATTACAGGCTCAAAATGGACAGAAACAACTAACTTTCTTCTGAAACTCGTCAGTCTATTCTTGTTCTAAGAAATGAAGGCTATTCCATGCGAAAAATTGCCAATAAACTGAAGATGTCGTACAACGCTGTGTACTACTCCCTTCACAGAACAGCACAAACTGGCTCTAACCAGAATAAAAAGAGGAGTGGGAGGCCCCGGTGCACAACTGAGCAAGAGGACAAATACATTAGTGTGTCTAGTTTGAGAAACAGACACCTCACAGGTCTTCAACTGGCAGCTTCATTAAATAGTACCTGCAAAACACCAGTCTCAACGTCAACAGTGAAGAGGCGACTCCAGGATGCTGACCTTCTAGGCAGAGTTGCAAAGAAAAAGCCATATCTCAGACTGCCCATCTTAATCTTTTCTTTTTATTGGCCAGTCTGAGATATGGCTTTTCTTTGCAGCTCTTCCTAGAAGGTCAGCATCCCGGAGTCACCTCTTCACTGTTGACATATTTCTGATCAATTAGATGTTATTTTAATGGACAAAAAAAATTGCTTTTCTTTCGAAAACAAGGACATTTCTAAGTGACCCCAAACTTTTGAACATTGTGTACATATATATTTATATTCCGGACTCTGACATTGTTTGTTCTGATATTTTTGTGTGTGTATTGTTGTGTTCAGTATTACTGCACTGTTGAAGCTAGAAACATAAAGCATTTCTCTGCACCCGAAATAACATCTGTAGAATATGTGTACGCGACCAATACCATTTGATGTTATAGCCTAGTTGTGTTATAACTGTCATATTATAGCTCTATAGTAATGATGTTAATGATTGTATAGCTTAATAGTAATCATGTTATGATATTGTAGCTCCAGAGTAACCATATTATAATGATGTTATAGCTCTACAGTCACCATGTTATAATGATGTTATAGCTCTATAGTAACCATGTTATAATGATGTTATAGCTCTACAGTCACCATGTTATAATGATGTTATAGCTCTACAGTCACCATGTTATAATGATGTTATAGCTCTACAGTCACCATGTTATAATGATGTTATAGCTCTATAGTAACCATGTTATGTTATAGCTCTATAGTCACCATGTTATAATGATGTTATAGCTCCATAGTAACCATGTTATAATGATGTCATCTCCCGTCTGGATTACTGCAACTCGCTGTTGGCAACTCGCTGTTGGCTGGGCTCCCTGCCTGTGCCATTAAACCCCTACAACTCATCCAGAATGCCGCAGCCCGTCTGGTGTTCAACCTTCCCAAGTTCTCTCACGTCACCCCGCTCCTCCGCACACTCCACTGGCTTCCAGTTGAAGCTCGCATCTGCTACAAGACCATGGTGCTTGCCTACGGAGCTGTGAGGGGAACGGCACCTCCGTACCTTCAGGCTCTGATCAGTCCCTACACCCAAACGAGGGCATTGCATTCATCCACCTCTGGCCTGCTGGCTCCCCTACCTTTGCGGAAGCATAGTTCCCGCTCAGCCCAGTCAAAACTGTTCGCTGCTCTGGCACCCCAATGGTGGAACAAGCTCCCTCACGACGCCAGGACAGCGGAGTCACTCACCACCTTCCGGAGACATTTGAAACCCCACCTCTTTAAGGAATACCTGGGATAGGATAAAGTAATCCTTCTACCCCCCCCTTACCCCAACCCACCCCCCCCCCTAAAATAAAAAAATAAAATAGTAAAGTGGTTATCCCACTGGCTATAAGGTGAATGCACCTATTTGTAAGTCGCTCTGGATAAGAGCGTCTGCTAAATGACGTAAATGTAAATGTACATTTTTTTATAGCGCCATAGTAACCATGTTATAGCTCTACATTCACCATGTTATAATGACGTTATAGCTCCATAGTAACCATGTTATAATGATGTTATAGCTCCATAGTAACCATGTTATAATGATGTTATAGCTCCACAGTAAACATGTTATAATGATGTTATAGCTCTATAGTAACCATGTTATAATGATGTTATAGCTCCACAGTAACCATGTTATAATGATGTTATAGCTCCATAGTAACCATGTTATAATGATGTTATAGCGCCATAGTAACCATGTTATAATGATGTTATAGCGCCATAGTAACCATGCCTCGTCTTACCATCTTGGTGGAGCCGCTGTACTCGTTCTTCTCATTCATATGGCACTCTCCATCATGGGGCTGGACCAGGCCTCCCAGTTTACCGTCCAAGGCCAGGTGAGGGACATCGTCTGTGGCAAACACCAGCAGGTGGAAGGCCTCCTTCCTCCAACCTATCCTCTCCTGCACAAGGGAAGAGATGGTCACTTCACTGAAAGTTTTAGAGACACCTAACTGAGGTCTAAATTAAAGCTAATTTACACTTGATCCGAAAATGTGGTCGTGGCTTCGTATGGAGGGTGTGATGCAATTGCGGAGCCTCCGGAGGCACTGGGAGGCCAAATCAAGCTCCGTACCGCATCGCTGTGTGCCTCTCAAATTCTATAACAATGCGGAGGGCTCCGTATAGCTCCGTATAGCTCCACATTGACATGATTGTTGACGGTAGGTGGGGGCAACTTCCTTCACAAAAGCTCTGCTCCGCTAAGCGCAAGAAGTATGAAAGCCCTGACGTCTGTGGAGGATGCATCGCAGTAAATGCTGAACGGCCGATGCAGATGTCGGATTGACCATGCAGCGCCTTTTAGTCTCCTCCAGGTTACAGTAGGCTATGTAGCTTTGTACTTTGGCACAGAGGGATCAGTCCATGAAATCAAAACAGAGAAAATACAGGCTTGATAACAAAAAAAAGAGACAGGTTCATTCTAACTGATCCTTGTTAATTATTGATTGAAATTGATGATATAACTGTTCTATAAATCCTTTATATAAAGTGTTTGTAAAATACTTAATGTAAAAAGACCTTGGCACAACAACAAACACCTAGCTGTTAGTGCTGAGCGATTAACATAAAGGTCGGTTATTTCTGGGGTTTTAAACAACTAATTGACTGACGTCGGTTCAATTATTTGAATTACATTTTGTTACGTATTTTTTCCTGTGAGCTCGATGCTCAGTTTCTGTAGAGATTAATCAGATCAAGCCCGAACTGTGCGAGGTATACTGAACAAAAATGTAAATGCAACATGTAAAGTGTTGGTCCCATGTTTCTTGAGCTGAAATAAAATATCACAGAAATGTTCCATACGCACAAAAACCTTATTTCTCGCATATTTTGTGCACAAATGTTTACATCCCTGTTAGTGAGCATTTCTCCTTTGTCAAGATAATCCATCCACCTGACAGGTGTGGCATATCAAGAAGCTGATTAAACAGCATGATCATTACACAGGTGCACCTTGTGCTGGGGACAATAAAAGGTCACTCTAAAATGGGCAGTTTTGTCACAATGCCACATATTTTGAGGGAGCGTGCAATTGGCATGCTGACTGCAGGAATATCCACCAGAGCTGTTGCCAAAGAATATAATGTTTATTTCTCTACCATAAGCCGCCTCCAATGTCGTTTTAGAGAACGTGGCAGTACGTCCAACCGGCCTCACAAGCACAGACCACGTGTAATCACGCCAGCCCAGGACCTCCACGTCAGGCTTCTTCACCTGCGGGGTCGTCTGAGACCAGCCACCCGGACAGCTGATGAAACGGTGAGTTTGCACAGCCAAATAATTTCTGCACAAACTGTCAGAAACTGTCTCATCTGCGTGCTCATTGTTCTCACCAGGGTCTTGACCTGACTGAAGTCTGCGACATAACCGAATTCAGTGGGCAAATGCTCACCTTCGATGGCCACTGGCACACTGGAGAAGTATGCTCTTCACTGATGAATCCCAGTTTCAACTCTACCGGGGAGATGGCAGTGTGTATGGCATCGTGTGGGCGAGGGGTTTGCTTATGTCAACGTTGTGAACAGAGTGCCCCATGGTGGCGGTGGGAGTTATGGTTTGTATGGGCAGGGATAAGCTACGGACAACAAACACAATTGCATTTTATCTATGGAAATTTGAATGCACAGAGACCCTGTTACGAGTTCCTGAGGCCCATTGTCGTGCCATTCATCCGCCGCCATCACCTCATGTTGAATTATGATAATGCATGGCTCCATGTCGCAAGGATCTGCCACAATTCCTGGAACCGGAACATTTCCCAGTTCTTCCATGGCCTGCATACTCACCAGACATGTCACCCATTGAGCATGTTTGGAATGCTCTGGATTGACGTGTACGACAGCGAGTTCCAGTTCCTGCCAATATCCAGCAACTTCGCACAACCATTGAAGAGGAGTGGGACAATATTTCACAATCAACAGTCTGATCAATTCAATGCGAAGGAGATGTGTCTTGCTGCATGAGGCTAATGGTGGTCACAACAGATGCTGACTGGTTTTCTGATCCACTCAACTACTTTTTTTATTTTTAAGGTATCTGTGACCAACAGATGCATATCTGTATTCCCAGTCATGTGAAATCCATAGATTAGGGCCTTATTTATTTAAATTGACTGATTTCCTTATATGAACTGTAACTCAGTAAAATCTTTGAAATTGTTGCATGTTGTGTTTATATATTTCTTCAGTGTAGTAGGGAGTTGTAGTTTCCAACAGGCCAATATTGTACATAGTTTAGCGCAGAAAATGTGGTAATTAACTACAATGACTATAATCCATTGCGCGCCCGCTTACTTGTCCGGTCTGTGTGGAGCAGACACGGAGACCTCGTTGAGAAGTGAGAATGTGCGAGAGGGATAGAAAGCATACCTGAAAATACATTATCTAAATGATTAATAGTTGGCATTCAGCAGTCAGAAAAATGTACTTTGAAGAACTACTAAAAATAGTGATTTATTCAGAGAACATAGGCAGCAGCTGTACAGAGATGTTTACTTGGAATTAAATAAAGTCATCAAATAAAACAAATATTTTATTAAAGTAAAGTAATGTGAATAAATGAATTACACAACAACTAATATATTTTATATTAAAGTAATGTGAATAAATGTTGGTTAATAAGTGATAAGCAGTAACGGGCAGTCACAACCACCATGGGACTTTTATTAATTGGTTTATTCTGTGTTTTTACAGCATTCAACCCACATAATGTATAGTGCATTTAATGTCTGAAGAAATAATCGAAACCCATGATTCTTTTTTAATAATTCAACCGAAACAGACCTCAAAAAGCACTAATCGCTCTGCACTACTAGCTGTAAAGACAGTAGTTCATGCCCCTAGAAAACACTGTCACTTCATTATTATTAAGACCAGAAAAGGAAACCCTATCACTTTCCACCAGCTTGACAACCACTGAACCACAGACAGATATAAACAAGGAGAGTAATACAGGAGTTTTATCCAGAACAAGGTCATTATCAATGGAAAGCAGAGGTAAATAGAAAAGAGTATCAGCAAAGAGAGAATTAGTCTCTTAACACAGTGCTGAGTAATGGCATGACACTAAACAAACCTGACCTTTCACCAGTGTTTAGGCATAAAAAGGCATCCATTTGTGATGCCCAGCCCAGCATATTATGTGCCGCAGTATACAATAGAAAGAGATGTGGGTTGGCAGTTGGCATACAGGGGCCTTTTTGAATAACATGCTAGAATGCTAGATACATTCTTGTCATTCAGCTATGCCATGCTTCGAATGCGTTTTGGCTGGAGTTGTAGTTAGTTCACCATGTATGACAGTCATGCCCATTTGATGTTGACATTCCTTGAAGGGAACCCACTTATATACAGTACCAGTCAAATGTTTGGACACACCTACTCATTCAAGGGTTCTTTATTTTTACATTGTAGAATAATAGTGAAGACATCAAAACTATGAAATAATACATATGGAATCATGTAGTAACCAAAAAAGTGTTAAAACAAATCAAAATATATGATATTTGAAATTCTTGCCTTGATAAAAGCTTTGCACACTCTTAGCAATCTCTCAACCAGCTTCACCTGGAATGCTTTTCCAACAGTCTTGAAGGAGTTCCCACATATGCTGAGCAGTTGTTGGCTGCTTTTCCTTCACTCTGCGGTCCGACTCATCCCAAACCATCTCAATTGGGTTAAGGTCGGGGGATTGTGGAGGCCAGGTCATCTGATGCAGCACTCCATCTGTGACACTCTGGCTCTATGGACTTTGAATATTGAGCCAGGGTTGTTCATTTTCATGTGTTTGGGTGTATTTCATTTGGTGGTGTTGGGGATGGGTGAGTTTCATTTTGTTTGTGTTGTGGTGATTGGTCTATGACTCCCAATCGGAGGTAACGAGTGTCAGCTGTCGGCTCGTTATCTCTGATTGGGAGCCATATATATTCTGTGTGTTTTCTCCTTTGTTTTGTGGGTTATTGTTTCTTTGTTGCTGTTAGTCGTATTTCAGTTTAGAACTTCACGTATCGTCATTTGTTGTTTTCTTCGTGGTTGCTTTAAGTTAATAAAGTCATCATGTTCACTCGCAACGCTGCGCATTGGTCTCCTCCTTCAGACGATCGTGACAGAATAACCCACCACAAAAGGACCAAGCAGCGTAACAAGCGGCAACAGGACCTACCTACACAGGAGTTATGGACGCCTCCTAAGGTCGGGACATGGGAAGAGTTATTGGACGGAAAGGATCCTTGGGCACAACCGGGAGAATATCGCCTCCCTCGTGAAGAGCTGGAGGCAGCCAAAGCCGAGAGGAGGTGGTACGAGGAGGCAGCGCGAAGGCGAGGCTGGAAGCCCGTGGAAGAGAGGCAACCCCAAGAAATTTTTGGGGGGGGGCACATGGCTTGGGCAGCTGGGCAGCAGGAGGCTGCCACAGGGAGAAAAGGAGAGAAGGCTAACGGAGTACGGGAGCCATTGGCGAGTGGAAGGAGGGAAGTTGTTGTGGCACGGCATGAGAGACTGAAGTGTGTTACCAGTCCGGTCCGGCCCGTTCCTGATCCGCAGTTAAGGCCATTGGTGTGTGTTCCCGGTATGGACCGGCCTGTTCCTACTCCACGCACCAGGTCCACGATGTGCGTCGCCAGCCGGCCAGAGTCTGCCGTCTGCCCTAGGGCGTCTGAACTGCCCGTCTGCCAAGCGCTGCATAAGCCGCCCGTCTGTACTGAGCCTGCAAAGCCGTCCGTCTGCCAGGAGCCTTCAGAGCCTTCCGCCAGACAGGAGCCGCTAGAGCCTTCCGCCAGACAGAATCATACACCTGCTATGGAATCAGCAGGAGCCGACGCAGCCCATACTAGACTGGAAGCTCGGGTTCGGGACCAGAAAGAGCAGCTCCTGCGGATGGGAGCCGCCCTGCTGGAGGTGAT